TTACTAATATTTTACAAGGTGAATCAATAGAACTTTATAAAGTTCGGGAACATATGGAGACATTATTGGAAATGTTTGAAAGTGATAGAATAAATGCAATTGAAAGCTTTAATTTATTATTTATTAACGCTTATAGCAAATGATTTAGATCTTACTATTACTTGTCCCAGAATTACCGGAAAACAGTTACATAGAAACAACTATACAAATGAAACTCCTGAAGACTATTATAGAGTATCGGTTTTTGTACCATATCTCGAATCAATAATACAATCTATCAAGGAAAGATTTGAAAAAGTTAATAGTGTTGCTTTTTCATTACAATACCTTCATCCAGCATTATTTAAAAAAATCAAAAAAGAAGAGTACGTTGAAATTTTAACAAACATTCATAGTTTTTATAAAATTGAAAATTTTTTAATTGAAGGTGAAAGTTAGTATGTTTATTGGCAAAAAAAAATTTTCAAAGTATGGACATTATAGATTTACTAAAACATAGTGAAATATTTTTCCCCGGTATTACAATTGCATTAGAAATTTTCCTATCTTTACCAGCTACAAGCTGCACTGCAGAACGTACTTACAACGTAAGACTTCAATTTTTATTTAGTAATGACTCATGAATATACATAATTATATATATATATTTTTTGCAAATTTCAGTTAACAAACACTTTATTTAATGTTACTTTTTGGTATTTCATTTTTTTTGGCCCCCCCTGATAAATTTCCTGCGGGCGCCCATGAGTATGTGTATTGTAAAGTAAAGTGTATTAGTCAGTATTTCCGGAACACATTCAAAAATTAAGTTGAAAAAGTTCTTTTTTTATATTTAATTTTAGGTATTGAACCTCCTGTATTATGGGAAATGGTCCGCTTTAAGAAAAAAGTAAGTCAAATGACAAGTTTTATGGTTTATAATATATAAATATATAAAGGAAAATGGTTTTATTTAAAAAAAAGTATGTCGAATAAAAAAGGTATATAAATATTATTTCTCATAAAAACATTACATTGATCCATACATTTTTCAAAAAATTATTATAAAGTTAAAAATATAAAATCGAGAAGTTTAACACAAAAAGTAGCCATTTTCACCGTAAAGACAAAATAAATTCCGATTTTTTTTTTTTATAGTTAAGTATATTATATTAGCTTTAATTTAAGATATATATAAAAATGTCAGTATTTCTGGAACACTTTCAAAAGTTGTAATTTTGAATCCACAGGCAGGTAAATGGTCAAATTTATATAAAAAAAATAAAAAATAACAGGTAAAGACAACATGCATCTATAAAAAAATTCAAAAATTAACGATTTTTAAATTTGTATTTTTTTTGCATAGTTCCCCCATTTACGGGGAACGAGGGAAATTTTTTCAATTTTTGAGAGTAGTGTCTTCAAATAGATATGATTTGTGATCTTTTGACGTATCGATGTAAGAAATCGGTTCGGTGAGAGCTGAGAAAGTGGTAACAGACACAGAAAAAAAATATAAAAAACAAAACACATCACAGTAAAAATAATACCTTCTCAGCTTTCCATTGAAGCTAAAAGTAACGCAACATGCTTGCAGGATCAAATGTTATTTAAGATAACGGAACATGACGTTACAGTATGTATATTATTATTTAAAATATTTTTATTATTGTTATTTAAAATCATTTTATTATAAAATTTAAAAAATTATTTGATATATGACTAGAAGGTTGGGCTTTGCACACCACAAGTTACCTATAACAATTTTAATAATACTAAGTTTTTTATTGAATGCGCGCTTATGTAAACAATGACACTTAAAAAATGCACTTTTTTGAAAATAATAACTCGTACAACTACGTATGGTAATTAAGTTTTTAGCGATACTACTTGATATAGGTAGCAGTAAAAATAATAACAAATTCTATGTTTTTAATAATTGTTCATTAAAAACTTAAATGCAAATTTCTAAAATAAAATCTACGTAAATTTGATAAAAAGATAAAGAACAATAGCTAACGTTTACGCACATAGTATTTTATGATAATGGTAGATAAAAAAAAGTTCAATGAATAAGACAAATAAGCAATATCTTTATTAATATACGATGTTTTTCCAACATCTAGTTATTAATAGTTAATTGATATACGTACTCAAAATTGTTCATAAAACAAACACAAGAAAGATGATAACAATAGATTTAAAATAATAAATGATTTGTAAAATATTTAGACTGAAAAAAATTACTTCACATAATAAATCTTAATAAAATTTAGTCTTATTTATTTTGAACTGATCGTTAAACTCAAAAAACAAATTTGAGGGCTAAAATTTAAAAATAATTAAAACTAAAGTATATGTTGTACTAGTACAATGCTCAAGACATTTTCAGTCTATCCTTTTTTTCCTGACATTTTATTCTAACTGAACAAATTTATTATTTAAATTAAACATAGGAACTATTTTTAAAATACTATTTTCAGTTTAATATCTAACTTCAATTGATTTGTATTATGAAATAATTTGAACTTCTTTTTGAAGATTACCCTAAAATTAAATTTTTTTAGACCAATAATTTTTATTACTAATTTAATGATAATTTTTATACTTATTGAATGTATATATATATATATTTACAATATTGAAAATTAAAAAATAAATACTTAATAAAATGAAAATATTCAAAAAGATTGAATATTAAAAATGTTCAACAATTATTTATCAGTTATAATACATCAAATATTAAGTTATAAAAAATATTTTAATATTACAATAAGTAATGGTAAGTTTGTCAAATTTGAATGGGCTATTTAAGACAGAATATTAACTTTGAATTTTTTTTTTTTTAAATTACAAGTTTAGTTCAGAACAGGTTAAACTTTTAAAGGATATAATTATTTATCAGTTATCATTTATAATTTGATAATTCTATCATTTAATGATTATCATTATTATTTGATATAGAATCTCCTACATAAATTAACAATTTAAAAGTATCTCATTTAAAATTATTTCTTTTAAACAAAATTAACAAATTTAGTATAAAAGTAATAATGTTGCTTTCCTAACTAACTTAGCTAGGTGAATATTGTATAATTTTACATTGGTTACCTAGTAATGTAAAATATATTTTGATTATCATGTGATAATCATATTTATTGTTGCCTATCTTAATTATTTTGGTTATCCAATTTATAAAAAAAAAAAAACCAAAAAAATAACTCAATTTTTTGGTATGGTAATTTATAAATGTATTAAAAATTTCTTAGATATTATCCTAAAATTAATAATTAAATTTTATAAAAGGCAATTATATTATTAAAATAAAAATAACCACAAAAATACTGTAGTTGAATTAAAAAAAAAAATGTTCATCAATAACATTTAACATGTATCTATTCAATATACATACATACATTTCTGACTCAACTACAAACATGGATAAATCCTTAAGCACTTCAATCAACAAGACAATCCATGAAAGCTTTAACACATTCATACATAAATACAGTTTTATACTTGTAAGTTTTTGAATAATATATCCAAAATATTTAAAATTATTACTTAATATTTTGATTATGTTTTATAAGTTAATATTTTTATAGGAAATCCATCAATATAGTGATATATTGAATGAATAAAAATGTATTAATTTATACAACATTCTAAAATTTTACAAAAAAACTCAAAGAACAATTTAAATGTAATTCTAATATTCAAAATCAATAATTTTAATGAAATAATAATTAATAAATTAAAGTCAATTTTAAGTAGTTGAATTACTAAAATGGACTTTAAATTATTTAGTCAAAACGTTGTATTAAAATTTAATTAAATTTTATCAAAAAAATGCATTTTGCAATAAATAAATATTAGTCTCAAATTAATGTCGACGTCACTCGGTCCTTAAATTATGTGCATCTGTAATTTTGACATCTTCGTATTTTTCATCAAAATATTATATTCAAATTCTAAAAATTAAAAAAGTTCAAATATAAATATTATAACTTTTACTTTTATGCTTTTACATACTTACCTTAACATTACGATATAAATATAAAATAACATTTTGAATAAACTAACCAAACTAAAACAAAATTTAATACTTAAGTTAACAAAAATATAGTTAAGCAAATGATTAAGATTATTTAACATGAAGTATATATAACACAACTTTAAATTGAAATAAACTATTTGTATTTGATTGTATAATAATATTATCATGATGTATTTAAACTGACACCCTTCAAAAATTACAGGATTTTTTACAATTAATATATATATATATATATAATATAATAAAATATTATGCATTATCAGGGTAAAGATAAAGTAAGTATAAACTTTGTTTTATATGATCAATAAAAAAAAACCAAAAAAAAACAAACCATTTTTAGTTATTAAAGTTTTATTCCTCATAAAAAATAGTTCCAGCGCCCCTAAATAAATAAACCTCATATGAGGTTTATTTTGCCTATACACATTGTACGGGTAAAAATCTTTTAGGTTTTCATGCCAAGTGGTTCATTATATATATTCGAATTAATTTTAAGGAAATAAGAATCCAGAAATTATATAGATTCGTAAAATATATCTAGTAGATAGTTAAAAATTCCAGGATTTTTTACAAATTAAAATCGTCTTGTCTAAAATTTATCTTTTTTTGTTAGATAAGTAAATATTATAAAAAAAAAATACTAAAATGCAACTCAAACTCAGCATAACAATGTATTTACTTACTAATTTATTAAAATACAGATCATAGTCAATTTTTTTTTAAATCTAGAAACTTTTTTAACAAATAATAACTATTTATAAATTTAAAAATATTTAAAATAAATAAGCATTCTATTAATGATATTTACATTCTAATCACAATAAATTACGTAGGTACGTTTTTTTAAACATAATTGGGATAATACTAGAAATTTTTTGTTTCACATAAATATTGATTATATCACATTCTGAAACTTTTATTACTTTATTTAAAATATAACTGATAAGTATTGTATCACCTGCATTCAATACTTACGTTACAAAGAATAATTAAATTCAAAAAAGTAAACAAAAAACTATTTAGATGGAAAGTAAAGCTGATTCTTCAAAAATTTGTAATTATTACTAGACTAAATGCTGAAGATAAATATAATGAATGGACAAATATAAAGTAGTTTTATCTCGGTTTTCATTTAAACAATTTGGATTTAAGAGCACTTTTTTTGGTATATTTATTGGAATACGTCAATTAACATTAACTCTTAGGCAAATAAGATGCAATCAGTGGGGTCAAAAGAGATACTATCAAATTCTGTCACCGAACCCAACCCATAAAAAAATTTAAAAAGTATATACTAAAGCCTGAGAAAATAAATTGGAGATTTGTAGAAAAAAACTAATTTTAATGAGTTGTTCAAGTTTTTCACTAGTTTTCAAATTCACGTTTCTCGACACCTTAAGTTCGACCCTATGAATAATTTTAATTTAGTGAGTTAAAATTTAAGTGTCCTAAGAAATCCATGGGAATTATTTATTTATTCTCATCGTCACACTCGTTAAAATAAAAGTGACACATTGTTCATCAAAAGTACAACAATCATGTCTAAAATTTAGTTAACTATACGAACACAGCAATTAAGAGTATAATATTTATTTTCATTTATTATTATTATTAGTTCATCTTCAAATTTATACTTTTTAAAATCGATTCGTTATAATTTTCTTGTCTCCTTGTTTAATAGCTAAAAATCAACTATCTTCCTATTATATATTACATGCAAAAAATAGCGATAAATGACATAATGTTGCACATTTTAAATAAAATGATGTCTCAACGGTTGTGTAGCACATGTTTTTATTTCTAGCCGGTGGAAATTTTCGACCTTCAGCCTGGTTGAGTAACAACACAATCAAAGTCGACTGGTTATAAAAAAAGATGCATCTGTGCGTGTATGTTTTGTACCTATGAGACTATGGTATAATGGCTCAGGCATTTTTTACATAAACTATAATAAGTAGTAAAGTACCTATAAATGTATCATACTTTAATGTATTTATACATACAATATGTGCATAAATAAGAAATGGGCGTGCCGTCATGTATAAACCGTACACGATANTATAATGGCTCAGGCATTTTTTACATAAACTATAATAAGTAGTAAAGTACCTATAAATGTATCATACTTTAATGTATTTATACGTACAATATGTGCATAAATAAGAAATGGGCGTGCCGTCATGTATAAACCGTACACGATAAAAAAAAAAAGAAAGAATAAAAAAAACGGCCAACGGTTATCCTTGGCCCATGGTCATTGGCACCCGTATGTTTCATCACGCCGGTAATTTTGTACGGCACGACTAGCAATAATTCTTTAGATTGAAGATTTCTTTGTTTTTATTTCATAACGCCCCCGAGTAGATACAAGAAAATTATTAATTGAATAAATAACGTTTAGAAATTCTTTTCGAACGAGAATAACTAACGACGGTCTGAGGTGAATGTATACAACGGAAAGATTACACGTTTGTAGAATAAAATACGACTATTTCCAACGCATTAATGTGTTATTTTTTGAAACGCCAAAATTGCATAGCCAAAAAAATCAAAAAAAAAAAAAATTTCCAGATGGTTTCCTGTCCAACTATAACAATTGCAATGGCGGCGATAACGACTGACTCGAGTTCACGTACCGTGGAGAGAAGAGTTGAACGTCCGGCCAATGGTCTAGAAGTAGGTACAATTCCATCCATTCACCTCACATTGCACAGACTGGCCGCTTCTTACACTTCTCCACGCCCGTTTGTTTTACTATCGCACTTTACCACACATGGACGACCAATGTCTGTGCAATTACTTACGATTTGTTAAAAAGAACATACACAAAACAAAACACGGCTGTAAATGAAATGTATTCGTTTTAGACGGAGATAGCAAAATAAGTTATTGCGCGTTTTCTTACCGACTACTACTCCATAGGATGATCCAATAAACGCGCAAACCAATAGTAACTCGGGTTTTAGGACTAATGTTTAATTTATCAGGAAAATATAGTTAAACGCGAAATTTAAAAACATTTAATGTGGAAATTCAAGACGAAGGGTCAGCTCTAGGAGTGTCGGATGTTATTTTTTTCAACAAAAAAACGACCTGTAGTCTATTTGTACACGCGTGTACATATTTTAATAGGCGCACTAATCTGGACTTTGCGTCTGCTGTTGTCTAGAGACACGATGGGGGCGAGGGCTATATATAGAGCTCCGGCTGCTTCGACAAATATGCGACGGCCTCCGGTGATTCTTCTCTCGTCGTTTTAATCTTCTTGGTCGCCGAGATTTACACAAAATTATTCATTTTTTTCAATACGGACAAACCAGTTTTGGTCAAATATTACCAACGGGTACAGTTTAATTAACAGCCTTACATCAGAGTTCTACAATTAGTAGTGCACTTAATAACCATAATAACGTCGTATGTCGTTATTTAACACTCGGAAATCAAGTAGACCGTATTTCCACTCACAGTTTTCAGTTCTGAGATAATCAAAATATTTAAGGTTCGACGAAAAGCACTCGGGAATTAAAGTAACTTCAGCGAAATGGAAACATGGTATTCCTACTTAATCGTATCCTCCCAGATTATTTGGTCAAAATAATATCTTAAAACTATTCAAACTTAACTATGTGTCACGTGCATCCTCGAAGTACTCAAGTTAAACAGTGAGATATTAGTTGGTACTTAACACTAATAATTAAATAAACTACGGTTGACTTAACATTAATATTAATGGTCAATGAGTTATGATTTTTTTAAACAGTATTAAAGATTGGATTTAAATAATAATAAAAAAAAACACATAAATAACTAATGAACTGAGACGGTCCCAAGTCGAGGTAGAAAGTATTGTAACAACGTGTGGGAACAGTCACCACCGGCTGCGAGTTCAAAAACAATTTTTTGAAACAAAAAAAAAAACGCAATCGGTGGTGGAGTTACCAAAACCCGTTACAAAATAAAAAACTGGACGACTTCTCTTGCTGTCGAGACACATGTGCTGTGACCGTGGCCACTGGACGGCTGGTGTAGATTTTGCGTGATCAAACTGAGGAACTTCCAACCATTGCGGGATACAAAAGAATTACAAGACACCGGCAATGGTTTGGAGTTACCACGGCTTGAAATCACGATTTATCGCAACACTCCCCACCTCAAGTGATTTCAATTCGACATATCTATTCACTTATTTCTAATATTATTACAATGATTACACTAGAGAACAATATTCGCAAGCGAAATTCTTTGGATACGAGTTCCATGGATGTTAACTATAAAATTATTACATACACATAAAATACCTCACCTCGTGTTCTTGGTTATTATTATTGCTGCGATAAAACTGAGTGACAACGACGACAACAAATACCGCTACGCCAAATTTCTGTCGTGATTCAAGGTTGTCTTGTGTCAGGTTCAATAACTCTTAGTAACCTGTGCACGGCCAGCGGCAACAATAATCTTCGGCTACAAGCGATGCCGATAATTATGGTGGCGGCGGTAGTTTATTACTCACTAAATTCATATAGACAACACAATTTTTTTTTCAATGCTTATATTTATGTTTGAAGCTTTAAAAAACACAAAGAGGGGAAATGCATTCCACGTTCGTTCGCAAAGACAGTTCCGGAGACGTAAACCGCACGAGGTCATTAAAAGTCGATAACCTCGCCATCATAATCGGATATTATAGTTACTAAAACTATTTCTGCAGAATGGTCTGGTAGCTGGATGACATAAAATCAATAAATTGTAGTTAAGATTTAATTTTATAAAATTTGACAACTATGAGAAATGTATTATTAAATAGAAAAGAAAATTTTCACTATATTGGCCGGATTTGTTGTTGCATTTTCATCGCCGGAGAAAGGGTCTTAGGGCAGATGTTTGGAAAAGGGATGAACAGCAAAGGGTTGGTGGGGATAAATAATAATCGATTTTTTTTACTCATTACAAACCGGGGACATCAAACGGGGTTTAGTATTTATTAAAATAGGTTGATACCGAACAAAACGTAGTTTTAAAACAAAATGGTCGTGGACTGACGAAAAACGGTAGACGCGCCTCTACAAGCAGGACACAGCACGAATATCGTGACTTTCCACAAATTTGGGGGAAGAAGTGTACATGAATGTATAATAACGGCGAGGAACACAACGCAACGAAAACAGAAACTCTCATTCACTCTCTCTTTCGTTAGATTAGGGTGATTCGTTGCATATGAGTGTGTGGGGGGTTGGGTTGGGGTCGCGTAGGAAGCCGGCTTTGACCTTCAAACAGCCAACTCTAAAACATACACACACAGGCTTGCCATCTGTTTCGACAAAATGGTTTTTGAACGCTACACGCTGGAACATATCACACAAAAACCATTGTTATAATTCAACAATTATCATTTTAAGTACAAAGAAATGAACTAAGCAAATCACGTTTTACAGTTTCAGACTACTTGGAACTCGTAAATATTCAATAATTACAACAGTTTAAAAATACACGTCACACTCGTGTGGAAAAAAATTCACGTTAATAGATTGATCCGATTAAAAAGCAAATGTATTACGTTTGCATAACAAAATGAAAGAGAAAACGAATTTTAATTTAGATCAAGTTCTCACGTGTTCAGTAAACGGAAAATCGATAACCATAAAACAATATTTCATCTTACCTTTAACATAGAAACAATAAGGCGATTAATGATATTTTCACTTGTAAGAGTGCGAACTGATAAATACAAGACAAGAAACAAAATTACGGTACTAGATAAATTAACGTTGGCGTTAGACTGGCGGTAGACAGTCGTGATAAATGTCTGCGACAGTTACTACACTAGCAGACTACCCGGAATACGCGACGTGTGGTACTGGTGAATGCGCCGGCAACGGATAATGGAAGGCGGGCGAGACGTGAGCGGCGGTTGCCTCAACCAAAGGGACGCCCCCTCCTAACAACGGTGCCTACGAGACAGGGCGCCAACGCCCAGGGGTAAGGGTGAACTAACCTAGGGTAAGAATTTAACAATGGACCCCGCGTGCACCGTGAGTTGGTACGGGATACTTTTGAACTATCGCACGCGGTTTTAGAACCTAAGCCTATACCAAAATTCATCATACAATATTACCGTTTTTTGTTCACATCAAGGGCGATAACAAACAATAATAACGTTAAACGCAGACCGCGTGGAAATATATGAATTGTAAAACATTTCTAACCGAAATTTTTGACATATTTAACAATAATACACAACAAGATACTAATAATTTTGCGTTGACAAGTAAAAAAAAAAGTTCAAAATTCCATGTAAAAATTTAATTAGCAACATGATACTGATTTATGAAACAAATTAAATTTTAAAGTTCTAAATTAATATTTAATAATAAGCATAATTGATATCCTGTGTTAGTGATATTAATATAGCAAAATGTTTTAAGTAAATACAGTTACTAGAAAAATAGACTTTATATTTATTGATAGGGTAATTTTAATAGATAAAAAAAGAAATTTTTATAACTATCAGATAAACGGAAAAAATAAAAACTAAGATCATACAAACACAGATAATCAAATTTTACGTTAAAAAAAAAACAAAAAATAATTGGCTGGATTTTCTATTTATAAAACTGCTAACGACAAACAAATTATGATCCAGTCATCATTACAAAAAAACAAGCTGTTATTTATATCACACAAAAATCAGAAAAATAATTTTCCTGGTTATTAAAAATATCAGATATAATAATAATGAAAAGTAAAATTTTAGAAAAATTAAATATATAACAATGGAAACATTAAGATTTGATAATTCAATGTTTTAATTCGAATAATAATTGTAGGTGTTTCTGATAACTCTAAGTCTAAATTAAAAAACTAATTATCCAATAAGATAAAGATCATTTTAATTGTTGATTGATATTATGGATAAATGAATAAATACAACAAAAGAGTATTTGTTTTTAATATAATTAATCTCGATGACATATTGATTAGGTTAACAATAATTACATAATGTTTAACCTCGGATTGTTAGTATGAAAGTATTTCAAATATAAAAATTAAAACGAACTCAATAACAACTGAGTAACATTTTTAACTCCTTAAAATTTTTAAACATAACTTACAACTAATAAATATCATTAATAGCAAAGATTATACTCGACTAATCCAAAGTAGATAAGATAAAAAGAGAAAAGAGAAGATAGCAAAGATGTACTACTTAAGGGTTTGGTTAGTCATAAACCAAAGAGTTTTAAGAGTAAATTATACTAATAGTAAAAAATTAATTTAATATAAAATAAATCCTGAAAAAAACATTGTAAATGAAGTAATCAATTTTAAACAATTATTAATTCAAAATTATAAAAAGAAAATAACCAAGTCAACAAATAGACAAATCTCACCTAAAACTATCTTTAAAAATAGAAAAATTACTTTACCAAGTTCCATGACATAACATGTCTACCATTAAGATACTTCTATGGTTTCTTTGGCCTTGCACACGATATCATTTTGACGTTAAGTGTACACTCAATTGATACATTTCCAAAGAAATCAGTTTGAGAAAATATTACACGAATTACACCATTTAATACTTACCTCATGATAATTTTAGAATTCCGAAAGGTTTAAGGGAATTACAAAAAAAATATTTTACTAACTAAATTTAAGTGAAGAAAAACTGCACCGCTTGTTTTCGCACGTTACATGAGTAAATATTAAATTAAGAAGAACTTGGAAAAAATTATTATATTTGCATAAATGAATGTTTCAAAGAAATTTAGAAAAAAAAACGTGTGCGAGTAGTCTATGTTTGACGGACAGGTGGTTGTTGCTGGTGCGGTCGGCAGCAGCAGCAGCGACGACGACGACGGCGGCTCGAGTCCTTGACAATAGTATGGTATGTGCTAGAGNAAAAAACGTGTGCGAGTAGTCTATGTTTGACGGACAGGTGGTTGTTGCTGGTGCGGTCGGCAGCAGCAGCAGCGACGACGACGGCGGCTCGAGTCCTTGACAATAGTATGGTATGTGCTAGACAACATACACAGATACTATTGAGAAGCCGAGCGCATGTAAGAGAAGCTACGACCTGAGCCCGGCACTAATCATGGTCAAATGCTAAGAGACGAAACGAAGCGTTCGCGAAACCAGTCTTTTCCTCTCAGTCATGCAGCACAGGTAATAGTGAGGGGACGGCGGGGAATATTGGACGCGTGCGTCGCCGGCTGGTTACCAGTGTTACCACTGTTACAGGATATCGTCCAAACATTTATTGTATACTTCATTGTGCAATTAATAAACAGTGAAATGATTTTGATCGTCAGGTATTTACTGACGGCAATATTTTGGAGAAAACGATTTATTTTTTTTAATTCTAAGAATGATATTTGATAATTCAAAATATAATTTTTTATCCATTTAGTGGGATAATGTGGTAGCAATTTCTAAAATTTACATCTTTCGTTAGTTTTATCTGCACCGAATAGTCAAAATAGTAAGCTGAATTTTTTCTAATAATAAACAGCTTAATTAAATATCGAATACAATCTCGGAAAACCCTAACCCAGCGCAAATAAGTCATTATTATCTAACATAATACATCTGAGGTTTTGACGTTAAAAATGCGGTCAATAACTAGTATAGTTGAGATAAATTTTGGCACAATTGAGATAAAATGTTTTATCTTAAAAAAATGCTATACAATTATTCTGCTTAAAGTTGAATTACCAAACTTGTACATAGACAATACATTTTTTCATCAATAAACAAATGAATAACATTTTATATCTCAAATATGAATTAAATAACCAATAATTTTTTAATATAACAAGTATAATTATACGTATAAATTTAAAATTATGAAATGCTTAATTATTAAACGTTGTTAATAGTCATTTACATTACATGAATATTACGTTAATTAATAACCTCTATAATCTAAAATCTATGTCCGAATTCGAAAATAATTAAAACAATCAATTTCCTAATTTCAAACGTAACACATTCTTGACTATCAAGATAAATTAAAAGCATTTTCGAAGATAGCGAAAAACTAATACAGAACAAATAGATAGCTAACAATCGAATAACTGCATGGCCATGAATTTGTGTAAATCGTCAAATAAAAATATATTCTATAATTAATATCTAATATTACACGATAAATTTAATGATAACACTAAAGAAAACAACAAGAGTCTATGCAATCTTTATTAACATGCTTTGAACGTAGCTCAGATCAGAACGATATAAAATCAAAATGAAATTAGTTATGTTTACGCATATGTAACAACAAGAAAATTCATTACTAAAAATACATATATATAACATAAATACATCACAATAAAAAGTTCTAAAAGTAATATTTACTCCAAGTCTGACAATTTTACTAAACTACCAACGAACATATGTAATTTAAGATCGTGTATATAATTCTATCCGTTAAAAAAGCTTGTTTTATTAAAATCCTTAAAAATTTTTTTACTAAAACTAGATATCATAACACTACGGTTTGCATACAACACAATTAATTGCACATTCTATGAATTAAATATAACTCATCGAACCGTTGGTACCGTTTATAGTCCTTAGATCAACCCTGACCTAGAAATAACAAAATTCACAAAAGAATTTTACCTGAGATGTAACGATGACAAAGGGGCACAGAAATTTTGACGAGGGTACTCAATCGTAGTCACCGAAAAGCAGCAGTAGTGTCTGGCGGCACCACCTGGTTTTTCTTTAACCAAGGCTTCTAAGAATCTATATACACTTCCGGCAAGATCCTGCAACAAACAAATCGATTTAATATTTGAAAATCTACTCTACTCTAGATGTTTTATTATAAATCTATTAGGCAAGTCGTCCCTCAACTCAATAATTAAAATTCAACTATGATTTACATAATCATAACCATGATGATGGTTGGTTTTATCTAGAAGTGACATTTCCTCCGTTGAGCAACGCCTAAGAGAAAAACTGTGGAAAAGAATTTTTTTTAAGCCAGTTATAAATATTTCCATAAACAATTAGCTGGTCAAATTAATAATTTCAACGTCCGAATTAATACAACAAATGCTTACTAAGAAACAGTTATGCAATGTACTGTTAATTAAGTGGAGATCTGAGAGTTGAAACCTCTAGGAATAGATATGTATCTAATTTATTAATTCCTGTCATAAGTTCACGATTGAAAGCTTAAATCTGATTTTTAGAAGAATCCATAAAACCCATATCACAAATTTTAATACCCTCTTACTATAATTTGCGTAATTTACATTACATTAAAGCTACATACATGAAAAATTAACACAATTTTATTTAGACCAATTTAAGTGATTAAAAAATAAAAACCCCTTTTTACATTTGTTAGTTTTTAATTATTGAATGCAGAATTCTTATGATAGCACATCATAAAAGTTTAAGTTCAAATAGCACGGTTTTAAAAGTTTAATATAAACGATAAGAATGAACACGGAAATAAGTCAAATAGACGATGTGTTTAAGAGACGGCAATGTTTTTTGTGCGTGGGTTATTATTCGTAAAAAAAAAAAAGACCTTGGAAGACTGAAAACTCAAGGAATTCATCGCTCTGGTGAATAATAGGAAAATTACATTTTGCAACAACTCTAGTATTTTACATTATATTCAGAAAATACACCATTATGTATGTATCTAATAATAATCTAACTAATTAAATAGAACAGTAAACGAATGCCCCTCCACGAACATTAAACTATTCGGATTAGGAGAAGTAAAATACTGACTTAAGGCAAATAAAAGACAACTAAACATAAATAAAAGTATACTTTAATAAATCATATCTATGAACATAGAATACAGAATGTCGCATGTTCCTATCATATTTAATAACTTTTGATCCAGCGATTATTTTGTTGCTTTTTTTTTAAAAATAATTTTTAAAATTTTACACTATATTAAAAACATAATTTTTATATTTGAAACTAATAAAAAATAAAAACATTTAATGATATTTTAAATTTTTTTTCCAAATTTCAAAATAGCAATTTTTTATCCAAAAAAACTTGATGGATCAAGAGCAATTTTAGTATAAGTAATTAGTGAATTACTAACATTTAATATATAGTGAGTACATAATGCTGTTGGAGTAAGCCTTATAAATATACACAAGAGTGTACCCAACAGCGCTACATACTCACTTTACGTATTAAAATAATTGAAACTAAATATTTAATCCTAAAGTTGTTATTGACCCATCAATATTTTTTGTAAGGTAAGTGTTAAAAAATAGTTGTTTTAAAAATTCAAAAAAGTATAATTATTTTTCGTTTTCTTATTAATGACAAATAATACAAAATATGCATTTAAAGTAGTCCAAAACTGTAAAAATTATACAACATAACAAAAAAGAAATGTAAAATAATCTATAGATCAAACATTATGTCGGAACATAGTAGGACATCATGTATGTATAAAATTATTACTGTTAAAATGTTGTGCTAAAAAGTATAACATTTTAAAACCACAAAAAATATAGAATTCGGTAAAAGTAATTAATGTCTATTATAAAGTAAAAAAAAAACTAAGTTAAACTTACCATTCTCTTTGAAAATATACTTTTAGGGATAACCTTTGTTTTAATACAGGATAATAATAACTATACTTTTTCATTGACTCAACTTTGTCTATATTAATAAATAGCTCAAGTTATTTTTAAATAATTTTGGTAACTTCGAACACCGCATAGTAAGTAGACAGTAGCATAATTATGCTACTGTATAAAATGTAATTTAAAAGTATCAAGAGTGAAAACTAATAACATTTTTCAATATGCTAAATATGAATACTAATTAATAAACAACTTTTGTTATTAATATATATATATATATATATATTAAATATTTACACAAAAATTGTGAAATTAGACAATAAAAAATAACAATATAAAAATATAAAGGAAAATAGAGAAACAAGACAGATGTTTTTATATCCAATGGCCGGTAAGAGCACACGGCCGAGAAAATGTATTCTACTTGTGTGCGGCTAGAATTGTATAAGAAAAATACTTCGTCAGAGGAGTTCAGTGATTCCTAGCCGCCGAACTAACAGGCGGTGGACTGTGCCCTTGACATCAGCCAAGTTGAACGGCCTGAGGACGCTGCTCGTCAACGTCTTAAGTCGCGGCGTTAGCTTCTGCATTTGTGAACGTCATGCTACTTGCTCCCTCTCAACAAGACTATACTGGTGCGCTTATGAATACCCCCTTCCTTTTTATCTAGTATCCTTCCCCTATTATTTTTATAATAAATTACATGTCGTTCCTTTACACCATGGTACACCTTCTAAAACCATAATATAATAGCAATAGATATTAGTACAGATACGTTTTAACAAAAAAATGGTATAAGTTGCAATGACAAGCATGAGCTCCGCGTTTATGTAATGATTGATCATAATGTAATTTTTCTATAGATAGATAGAATATATGGATAAACTAGAGAGAAAAGCGGGGGTCATCGAACTAAATGAAGAAAATCTGCCACCCGTGGAAACCGGTTTCGACCGGAGGCGCGAAAAAGCGGTTCGTTCTGCAACTAATAGTAGTTCAAGTCGTATGCACTAAGGAAAGCACAATGCTAGAGTTAACGTCCGCACAAATTTATGATCAGATAGTAATTTTAGGAAAATAAAACTATTAAGTTATACGAACAATAATTAGTATCATAAAAAACTATGGGAAAAATCAAACCACAATTAATCGTAATATACTTTAAAATTCAAATATGGTATGGCAATGGCGGTTATCTAAATTATAATAACGTCTTACGACCAATAAAAATAAAGACATACATATTCAGAAGGTTATAAACTGATATTTTAATAAAAAATATATAAAACGTTTATATTTTGAATTATCCCACTAAACCAAATCATTATTACCAAAATCTGTAGTAATATTATCAATTTTTAAGGATCAATCACATTCATACCATCCAACCCCACGCAGCCTTATATGCGACCCACGGAAATTTCCTCAAGACAACAAAAACAAATGTACAATCATATTTAAGTTCAATAATTTATAATTATTCTGCGTGTTCAGTGTATACTAGATTAATTGATTGTAATAACTAAATATAAAATTATGTAACAGATCCAAATAATATTTTGAGATTATGAAATGCATAACATTGAAATGATGACGAAGAATTATATACAGTATTACTTTTCAGTAAAATTTTTTTTATTATTTTTGAGTTTTGAACAATTATAAATAGTNTTACTTTTCAGTAAAATTTTTTTTATTATTTTTGATTTAAAAAATCAATAGTATATTTTTATTTGTGTTGCACACTTAACTTTATCTGGAATGATTCTAATAAAGAACTGGTTTGATTTTCAAGTTTTGGCCATGCAGAGATCGTTGCACCCATCTATCAAGGTTATTTGCCTCTACTTTTTATTTACTTCAAAATACCATTAGCAATGCATTTTAGCATTATACTGATGATACAAATGTGTGAAGCCTATTTATACTTATTCGATTATATTGGTTAAAAAATAACATATAACTAATTAGTCAAATTTATTATTGTAAAAAGAAATTCACTTAAATAACTGCAAAGAAGTAATGTATTAATTCAATTTAAATTTGAATGGACTAGGGAGATCCTAACACATTTTAATAGACAACAACATCAAACAATTGATCAAACAACTATAAATAGAAATAGCTTTAATTCCACGAATAATTTTAATATTACAAAAATAGATGTACATTAATCACAAAGTTAAATAAAATACATAATTTTGACAGTCGCTCAAGAATCACTTACTGTAAAAATTTTACTCACTAACCCACAGAAAAATATTTTATCCTAATTAAAAAATAATGTTAATACTGTCAATAAAATTTATTAATACTGGCTTTAATTTCTTTTTTTAGGTAAATTTATTTAAATTTTTTTATAATTATATAATATTTAAAGAAAATATAATCATGATAATATGTGTTTCAGATAATATGAAAACTTCAAATTATTAAGTGTTAGATTATAAATTAATTTATTAGCAAGTATAATCATGCTACAAATAAATAAATTTAATTTTTTTTTCTATTATTATTATTATTATTTAAAAACAGAAATTGGTTGGTAATGACTGATAAATTATTATTATAAATATAAAACAACAAAATAAACTTACAAAATCCTTAGTATTTTAAAATAGGCAACCAGCAAAATTGTTGTGTCTATTAGTTGGCCAACAACAATGGTTAGAGAACTAATTTCAAAGTATTTTTTTTAGTTAATAGTAATTGGTAACTTACTTAATATTTAAAAAAACATGCAATACTCAAGTTAATAAATACAAAAGTGTCATAAAATATTTGAGTCGTATAAAAATAAAAACAATATGAAAGTTTAGGTTAAAAACAAAAATAATTTTGTTTACTTTTTATACAAGTTATATTTATAGCAAAGAGACAAAAATCATAATTATTTATTCAACCAAAACTAAAAATACTAAAAATAATTGATNTTTATTCAACCAAAACAAAAAATACTAAAAATAATTGATAAGGATTTCAAGTTATATTTAAACTCTTATTAGTATAACTAAAGTTCATAAAATAAAAAAGATTGTAAATAACATTTTTTTCCAAAATTAAGATTTATAATATAGAACTGTGCAATTTACAACCTTTTTGCTTGGCAGTGTTGATTAATTTTTATTTACAAAATACAATAAATTTAACTTTTTATTATAGTTTAATAGAAAGTTATATTCAGTTTAATATGGAAATATACGAGTGCATATCATATCAACATTTTAAAATTGGAAATGCTTAAAATTATACTATAATTACTATTTTTTGAATAAAATAGACAGAATTTTATTTTTGAGATTTAAGTCAGTTTATTTTGCTGTCAATAGACAGCAAAAATCATACCATAAGAATACTTCATGAGTAGGTCATTTTTTTTTAATTAAAATAAACAATTGCATTTAATATTTAATATATAGTTTGTTATAAACTTGATTAAAAGCAACCAAAATTTAAATTTAAAAACAAGAGTATGAAAACATAGGCAATTCCATTTTAAAAAAGGATACTATAAACAATTGATCATGAGTAATACAATTTTTAGTGGCGTATTTGACTTTTTGAAATTAAGATCTAAGACTATCCCGTGCTTTAGTTCATACCTAAATAAGACATTAATATTCTTGACCATAAGTGATTCTCTAAAATTACCAATCATATTATAAAATATTTAATATGGTCACACATAGAAACACTTAAAATAATTTTTATAATTATTAACTTAAATATATTTAAGTTTATAATCAAAAATATATGATCAGAAATTTTTAACAAAATAAAGACTAAGCAGTATGGGTATTGGCCGATATCAATTTTATTTTAGATGTAATTAAACACTTTTATTTGTTCATTCATAAATAAATATTTTTTTAGAGATAGAACTAAATCCAACTTTTACAAAAAAAGTAATTTTATGATATGTTAGATGGTTACTTAAAGTATGATTTTGTTTCAATTGAACTTTTTTATTTAATTAAAAAATTAATCTATTTTAATGATAATATTTAACTTACTTAAACTGTGTACACAATTAAAAAACTGAAAAAAAAAACATAAATTTAGTTTTTAAAAAAATATTTATATTATGAACACTTATAACTTTTTTACTTTTATGAAGGCTTTGACTTAGAATGTCGTTCAGCAGAACTTATGACTTGTATTATATATACTAAATAATCTCAATTTAATTTTATTCAGGAATTTACAAGGTTAAAGAACTTATTAAAAGATTTCTAAGACTTATAATAATCACAAAGAAAGTTTATACTTCATTAGTATTTAATCATTGTGAATTCTAAAAAAAATAATTTATTTAACCCTATTTCAAACATATTTTATTCATATTTATTATTACTTTTATAATATTTCTAAATTTCAAAATTTAAGGCTCAATGCATTAAAAAAGACCACATAATATTAATTTTGTAAAAAGATGATGTTTAAATGTAAAGTAATGAGTTTTTATATTCAAACTATTTGCAAATATTTAATTTAAGAACAAACTTTGTTTGACTTAAAATTAGAAAAATGAACTATTGGGTTGTTGAATTGAGCTCTTCAATTATAAAACATAAAAGGCATATATACAAACATAATTCTTCATATATAAGTTTATAATACAGATGATAATACTAACTTTGACTCATAGTAATTTCTTTTAATTGGCCAAATACACAATTTAAAACTATCTACTTTAACAATTATTACATTAGAAAATAACAAATAAAAATGTTGCTATTTTAGTTATTAAATAATATTAATTATAAAAAATACCTTGTATAGAAAAATTGTTGACAGTTAACTTGCATGTTAAACTATTACTGATATCTGAAATTTCAAAAAACGAAATTAACAAATTTGTGTTGATATCTAAAGATATGTTGATAAAAATTTGAATACAACTTATCTATAACATTATTTCTAAGATTATGAATAAGTAATCTTAACTGAATTAAAAATTACCAAAACTTGAAAAACAATATTATTTGAAATACATACATATTGTAATATTAGTGTGATATATGATTACTAATATTATTTTAAGTTATATATATATATATAGATTTTTTGAGATTTCAAGTCTATTAAAATCAAAATCATAGGACATTGATGTCTATTTAATCATTCAATATTTAACTATAAACATTTGACTTTATTTTATACTACAGCTGATCTTATTAATAGAAGACCTTATTTTTTCAAACTATTAGTTTTAAGATTTGACAAAAACTTATTGAAAAAGATCAAACGGTTAACATTTGATATCCTTCAATATCTGAATATTCTTAAACAACATCTAAGTTATAAAACAAATAATGTACATAATACATTATTTGTTTACTATAAATGAACACTAAAGCAAGTTAGCTAAACTCAAGCTATTATCAAGTTAGATGATAAATCATCAATTTATTAACATTTAATTTATTTACTATAAACAATTATTGATATTTATTAATGTACCAAAAAAATAAATAAATTATCCCTAAAAGTACCTAATAATTCAATTATAATTTTTTATTAACACAAAGATAAAAATAATAATGAATACATAATTAAGATAGACTAATTTTTAACAAAATTTCATTAAGGATATAATGTAGTAAAAAAACTGAGTTTGTGATGTAATTACCAGAATTATAGTTCTTATATTTAAAGTAATGGTACTAAACACACATCAAAAGGACAAAAAATCAATAATGCGACTGCAGCGGCCGTCAGCGTCAGTAAACACGATACAATAACAAAACAGAAATAGAGTACATAAAAAGTCGAAAATTATTTATTTAATTACAAAACAGCTTATAATTGTTTTGTAAATAATCATAGCATCGATTTATCAAAAAATTATGAAACTAATGAAATTATAATAACATACACACGCTCATATTAAACCAATTGATAGAATAATCTAAGAATTTACCATTTACACGTAAAGTCAAATAGAAATTGTTAAATCATAAAAAAATACCGGTAATTATGCTCATACACAAAGCAATAATCCACGAAAATCCACTAGAATGAAAAAGACAATAACAAGTTTATACTTTTAAAAAAACAACCAATTACAAACATTTCTTTTACTTCAAATAGGGATTAAGTAGAGAGTAAATAAACAAGAAACAAAGCGGTAAGTGCAGGATACGATGCGGCGTCGTGCCGACCCCTCAATACCGCTAATATACAGTGCAGCCAACTTTTACTATCGATGACAGTAAGTGTTAGATAATATTGTCGAAGTACTTGGTTTCTGTATTTAGCAGTTTTAATATTTGAAGAATTGTACAAAAAAGTAATTAAATTTATAACGTATTTTAAATGTTTGCTAATTTCTATTATTAAACAATTAATGACATATAACTTATTAAATTAGTGTCTTTAACATGTTTTTCTTATTATCAACTAATAAATAATGTACGACGTTGAAAAATATATACGGCCTTATGTTCACCAATAAATATATTTATTGGCACTAATATTTTAGTGCTTTTCATGAATCATTTTATAATAGAATTCAGAAAATATAATTGTACTAATCAAGCTTTAAAATACTAAAATGTTAAAATATAAAGTAGTGTTAAGCAATTGTGTAATTATATGAATATACATAAAAAGTATTTAAAAGATATAAAATATGCCAGACATACCATGAAAAGTAAAAAGAACCTAAGTATACAAAGATATTCAATACAAAATTGTTGATATAAATAAAGAAAGGTACCTTATTTGTGAAAAAAAACTAATGACCTCCTTTTTTTCTCAACATTTCTAGATCATTGTGTTACATTATGTAAGTCTTAAAAAATGTCGGGACTTCAGCCCAAGTTGACTTAAATTTCTAGTTACGCTCAGAGTGTTTAGCAAAAAAACAAAAGTTATAACTAGTTAGTTTTGAAGTTAAAAAAAGAAATAACTGTTCATATAGCTTCTGATTCTTCTCTCCTTATACCATGACCAAACCATCTAAGTCAATTTTCTTTCATTTTATTCACAATTGACACCTATACTTCCTCTTTTGTGTTCGTACCTTACTCTATCTTCTTTAGTTACTCCACTCATTCATCTAACAATTATTATCTCTGCTCTATTCTCTTGTCAACTATCCAACACTTTGAACCATACATCGTAGCTGGTCTTACTACAGTCTTATAGAACTTAACTTTTAGCCTCATTGAAATTCTTTTATCGCATAACACTAGACGCTTCTTTCCAATTCACCCATTTGCACTTAATCATGTGTTTTATATCCTCGTTCAAACCGCCGTTCTTTTGCACAACTGATCCTAAATTCTTAAAACTTTCCACCTTTCCTATCACGTTCTCGCTTATTGCCTCTGATCACCTAATTTTATCTACCACGTGTTTTCCTGCTGTATTTTACCCTCTTACAAGTGCTATTATACATATCCTATATTATATTAATGTATCTTATTGGAACTCTTTTTCTCATTAATGCTTGCTTTAAAACCTCTCTCTGTATTTTGTCATACGCTATATCTAAATCTATAAATACCATACACAGATTTTTCTTTTTTTCCCTATATTTTTTTATTAGCTGTATCACTACTAATACATACATAAAACAGGCCCCATCGTTGACTTTCTAGACAAATAACCAAACTGACTCTTTATTACTAATGTCTCTCCTCTTATTTATTTGTCTATTGCCTTTTTTCAAATCTTCATACAATGACTCATTAGCTTTATGCCTCTATAATTTCCACACTCCTATATGTCTCCTTTGCTTTTAAATAACGCCACCACAATACTATTCCTCTATTCTTTTTACATTTTTGCTTCTAATAGGATTTTATTAAAAAGAACCACATAATGCCAACACTACCTAATATTTTCCATACTTCTACTGGCTTCTTTAAACATGCGTTTATACTTAATCTTTTATTTCTCTCCTTTTGCTCTTCCATCATACTTTGAACTGCTTTTTCTTATTCCCTATAATTTTGTAAACGTCCTTAACCTACCACTAAGCTTTCTTGTGTCCTAATATTCTACTCCTACTCTCACCAACAATCTCCTTTGCAGTATTGTTTATACAACTTGTAAATATATTCAACACATCATTTATGTCTACATCGACATTCCACATCATCCACTCTTTTATCGTCATTAAAAACTATAATAGTTAAAATAATTTTACTAATAGTAATATAAATATACAATATATATTATATAATATATTTAAAAATTTATTATAAACCTCATAAGAACATATAATTCTTTTAGTTCCCACATACTTGAATATAATATGTACACAAACTATAAAACGTTTAATATTAAAATAACAAATGCTTTTAAATTTGTTTATTAATATTTTATAAAATCCAGTATTTTTTTTTACGTTTAATCGATTAAGTTCATCAGTGTAACTAGCTTTAGCTTAAAAGTAAACTTAAACAAAATAAATTTTAAAGATAAATTAAAACATATAGAAAAAATTTGGAGAAAACCATAAAGTTAATTTTTGAACATTTTTAGCATAAATTACTTGGAATATAAAAATTTAAAATAAAAGAATTAGTTTTTTTTTTATTGAACGTAAATCAAAATTGTAGTTTTTTAGTCACTAATATCATTATCGATATTATAATATCATTAACGATATTATAATATCGTTGTTGAAAATATTTTATACAATTATATTTTATTTAACTATATATATGACTAAATTTAGGTTATTACATAAGTTTACGTTTTTTTTTCTTTTTACTTATAATACAAAAAAGTAGTCACTAAAATCACGATTGAAAAAATTTTAATAAGCTATGTTTTGTTAAATTGTGATATATGCTCGTTGTTACCACATTTTTAAATTTGGCTTAGTTCATATAACAAGTATAAGAACAATGAAAATAAAATATTGATAGTATTTTTTACAAATAGCATTGGCATAACTAGAATGAAATTTTTGGGAAATTATTTTTTTTATCCTTATTATTATTTTATTAAATAATCGTATTTTGTAAGTTTTAGATAGTTATTATTTTTACTCAGATTTGAAATTTACAATTCACATTCTGCCATGATTTTTGATAGTAATAATGATTGTTTTTCCTCCAAGCATTTTAAAGCCGCAAGATGATATATGGAGTGATAACCTTCTCAATTAAATTTGCAGTATTTGTAATCTACTTATTATTATTTATTTTTTTAACTTAGTATTTAATAATAAAATCAAATTTGAAAAGTGCAAAACAGTAATTACTTTTTTTAGTGCTTGTAATGAGATTCACTCAGGTATTGTATAAACAGGATATTGGTCGTCTTATTAAGTGGCAATGGCGTGCACAACGAAAAAAGTCCTTAATTGAAACAAACGCATATAAAATACTTGCTTCTAAAAATATACCCGTTATTGATGCTACTACTATTTTACGAGAACCAATTCTAGAGGCTCAAAAACAGGATGTACAACAAATTTTAAATAATATTGTGGGGCCATGTAAATTGCCTCAAAAGAATGATGATACCCACCCCTTGTGGAATGATGAACCATGTCTTGTTTTTAGTGATCACAATGTACTAGTTCAAGGTCTCGATCAAGCTAAAGTATTCACAAATTCAGTAGAACCATCAAGTGGACTTCCACAACACTTGCAAGATTTATTTGAAGCATACAAAATTCCTAACCAAGATGATCATGTAAAGAGAATTATTAATGCCTCTGTTATGTATGATAGTATTCAAGAAAAACTTCCCATAAAAAAAGACAAGGAAAGACCAGCATGGAATTTTCCTAGAGATTATGGTATTCCAACAAAGCGAAGAGTTCATTTACTAGCTAGCAGATTAGTACAACTCTGTGACTCAAGTGTTGGAAGTATGTGTTCAAAAAAATTATTGACTAAAGATGTTTTTTTTAAGGTACCGTTACAAAGAAATTCAAATGTTAGTCTTGATATAAGAGCAGATTTATTATTATTGTCTGATAATCCTTTATCACCTTTTATTGAAAATGTACTTGGGAAATTACCAGATATTTATCCTTTAGATTATAAAGTATCATTAGATGAAAAAAATATTTATAAAAAAGATGAATTTGTTTCACCTATAAGTGGAAAATATAATAATGTCCATACTGTTATTATAAATTATGATGAAACTGAAGTAAAAAACTTATATGAAACTCCTGTGAAAGAATCACAAATATTTGGACGTTCACTCATGAAATGTTATGCAATTGCAGTTGCAAATGCAAAATCAAAATTTGGTGATACTATTGAAAATTTATCAGAACCTATATCTCTCCAATGTATACAAACCAATGCTCATTGGTTTCATTTTTCTACTTTCCAATTGAATACATTATGTGGACCTGAAGAAAATGGTAAGAGAAATGCTTTTTGGCAAACACCATTAATAAATCTATACAGCAAATGTTGTTATGAAGAAGGTATACCAGTTTTAAAAGATTATAATCCAGATGTATTTAAACACTTCTTAACATTTTATATGAATGGTACTGAATATGGTGCTAATTAAAATTGTTTTTCCTGAATACTTTATTCATATAATAAATATAATATTTATGTTAAATATTTTTATTTTATTTTAAGCAATAGTTTATTTGATGCTATTAGGACAAATATGAAGTCATTATACCAAACTATATACATATTCTGAATATATCATATATGAATTACACATGGGCGCATTTTGGAAAAATTTATTACAGAATAAGCTTAATTTCTCCACTCTTTAAAAATATTTCTATATAAATGTACATGTCATTTTCATCATTTTAGGGAGAGGGAAATCTCACCTAAACCATTCCTAGATTGTGCTTATGAAACTATAGAAATAATTAATAAAAAGAAGTTATTTTTAAAAAGTTATAGTCAATAAAATAGTAGATATCAAAGTAAATATTTTAAATTTTATAGTTTTATTAGAAAAACATTTATTTGAAATTAAAATATCTTTAAACAATCAATAAATGTTAACAGTACATTTTAAATTACTAAAAATATTACCTAGGTTGGTTTTGGTAATGTAAATAATATTTTAAAAGTTTTTTAAGTTCGAAAATATTTTCTTTGCTTTCTAATAAGTTCCAATCAAACTTTTTAAAGCGTCGTATAACCATAAAAAACCTCCATTTTATTAAATTGTATTTACGACACCAAAATAATTTAATTACATATTCAAACCAATGTTAATAATATACTATTAATTTATATAATAGGAATATAATTAGATTTAATTGATTTAGATTATAAATTAGTGAGAGAACTTTAGTTGTAGGTTGGTAAGTTTATAATAACCAATAGAATATTAAATCAAAACAATAGTTACTTTTTAATGTTGAATGTATGACTATTATTTAGTTAAGCGAGTGGTGGAACTGAAGCTGAAATTATAACGCAATAGCTTTTTAATTTTAATCATTTAATGATAAAATATGTTTTATATGAAATTACATATTGTATATATTATTTATTTTATAATCACTGTAATATTTAGTTGAGTTTGAGTTAAATTTATCGTAGATAAATATTGTTTTAAGAGTTGAAACAAAAATGATGATTTAATCATGGTCTGATACTGGTAATTAAAATTATCAAAAGTCGTGGTTATTTATAATTAACTTGTTAGCATAACGGTAAAAATTATTAACTGGGAGAATCAAAAGAGGATGATGTCTTTTTGATAATTTTTAATGAAGATAATATTTTACTTTTTAGATTACATGATGTTGAAAAAATATAAGTGTTACATTTATAATAAGTTAACATACAGGAAGGATAATCCAAAATTAAAAAAAAACTAGTGACTAATTCCTGATAATATTTTAATATAAAAAAAAATAGTTAGATTATATACTAGAGGGGGACACATATCTGGTCGTAACACTACCAATAATGACCTGGAACCATATAAACCAAAGTTGTTTATTACCATGTTAAAAAATCTATTTAAAACATAAGTAAACAGTTAAAAAAAAAACCCAGCACAGTGGTGACGTGGCATAGTTGGATCAAGTATAATGATATCTGACAGTGATTAAAATCACTATAAAAAAAAAACGCTTCCATGCAAATCTTTAGATAGTGTTTAATTTTTAAAAAATTGGTGTTTTATTCCAAAAGCTACTTGATCTGCTGGTTCCTTATTAATATCTCGATTAAGATAAAGTATGTCGAATGAAAAAGGGTTTATTAAAAAATATTATTTCTCATAAAAAAATTGTGTGGATCCATAAACTTTTCAATAAGTTATAGCATTATAAAGTTAAATATAATAAGAATAATAAAATCGAGAATTTTCACACGAAAATAGCATTCGGTAGCCATTATCGCCGTGAAGACAAGTCCAGAGGTCAAATTTTTTTTTTTCAAATTAAAGTATATTACATTAGCTTTAATTTAAGATATATATAAAAGTGTCAGACCTTCCGGAACACTTTCAAAAGTTAAGTTGAAAAAATTAATTTTTTGTAAAAAAGTTGTCATTTTAAATCCCCCCCTGTGGGCAGGTAAAAAGTCAGATTTATAAAAAAAATATAACAAATCATAGGTAATGACATCTTGCATCTATAAAAAAAAGAATTATATTGATATGTTTATTTTTAAAAAATTTACGGCAGTTTTTAATATAAAAAATTGAAAAAATTTCGAAAATTAGCCATTTTTAAATTTGTAATTTTTTCGGAGGTTTCCCCCATTTACGGGGAACGAGGGAATTTTTTTCAATTTTTGAGGGTAATGTCTTCGACTAGATACGATTTGTGATCTTTTGACGTATCATTGAAAGAAATCGGTTCGGTGAGAGCTGAGAAAAAGTGGTAACAGACAAAAAAAAAAAATAAAAAAAAAAACACATCTTAGTAAAACCAATACCTTCTCAGCTTCGCATCGAAGCTAAAAATTAAACATCCGGATAATCACCAAAACATCAAATATTTTGAATGTAGTATTATAGAAAAGAATAATTTTGATTTTAGACATTACTTAAGTTTTTAATTTAGCTCAACTCAATATTTGATACAACTCTTTGAAGCAAAAAAATGTGACTATATTAATATATCTTCACGCAGCTTATTTCAGTAAATCAATATATAATCCAGAGCTCATAGTTTTAAATATTTTGTTTTCGAACAATTTTTTTATTTCATTAAAAATAATTTAATTAATATTAACTGTGACTAAAACAGTATGTAAAAATATGTTTTTTTTGATTGTGTTAAAGACTACTTTAAGAAATATTAAAATTTTCTTTTATTATATTTTAAATTATCTTTTTTCTAGTTTAAATTTTCAATTTTTATTGATTCAGTAAATTTAAATTAAATAAGAAATTACGAAAAATCAGTTAAGGATGTTATATAATAATTAGTTTTCGGAAGTCAAAAACTTTAAAAAAATGTTTTCCAAAAGTTGCAAAAATAACTAAAAAAACCTTTACAATGTCGTAATAATAGTTTAAAGTACTTTTTAANAAAAATAACTAAAAAAACCTTTACAATGTCGTAATAATAGTTTAAAGTACTTTTTAATATTTCAAAGATTTTTAGAGAAAGTATATCTTTTCAATACAAATATTATATACATTTTTATAAACTACTGATATCGTTATAAAATAATAAAATAAAATGCAAAATTCATAAACTTTCTAGCACCTATATTAACACAACTTATTATGAAATCATTTTAATTTGATATTCAAAACATTTTGACTAGTTTTTTAAAAATATATATATAAAAAGAATATATCAATGATATTAAAATCATTCAATTAACATGAATTGAAGCTAATTTAATTAATTAAAATACAAGATAACTAATTTGTTTTAACATTTGTGAAAAGCATGTTTAAACAATATTAAAAACAAATATTTTTTTTTTATTTAAATAAAAAAATCAGTAAAAATTTGTAGTTTTGTTTAAAACGATAAAAATAGTTTATTAAACCTTGCAACAATACAAGCATCGAAATTTAACCAAAGTGTAATAAGATATGTATATTTTATTACATTTTAATGATATACTTAATTCGATAGTAAATTTTTAGAATTTGATTTCGACCAGAAAAAATTGAAAAGATATAACAATGTTATCAAAAAAAAGATTATTTGCCAATAGATGTTATATTTTATGCTTTCTTTTACATTTAAAAGATGCATATAGAATGTGTACGTTTAAATACAAATTTATTAACAAAATGATAAGGAGAACAACTTTAATTTAGATTTAATTGGTAAAATAGGAGCGATATGTTATGTTTTTGTTAAATTATTCAACATAGTACGAATTTAGTTAGAAAGTTTCTCAGAATTATTAATCGATTATATTATCGAAGTTGATATTTTACATCAGTTTATTTATTATTTTTATAAAAATTAATTTAGTTTAGTGTAATATGAGCCTTAATTACATTTTATCTTTGATGAAAAAAGTAAAATGAAATAAATTATCTCTCACTGAAAATCTGGATGACTTTAGAAACTTTTATTAATATGGTTGAAATATTTTTTCAATTCACATATATATGACTTTTTAATATCATATGAATTTTTATGACATATGTATAAGCTATTAAGTTTCAGAGATATAAAACCCACTGGATTATTAATTAATTGTAGCTTTGATATGCTTTTTGTACAGCTTAGTTAATTTGTGTTAAATCTATAAGTGTAAAAAAAGTGTAAGATAACTGAAATAAAATAAAAAACATCAAAAAATTAACATCTTTTTACTTTGTATCGTAACTAAAAAATAACATATTCTAATTGTTAATGTAATAATTTTTATCAATTTATATTTTTTTAATATTAATTATAAGTTAAGAATTCTAATATATTTCATGTTTATATATATTCTGTTTAACGATTTCATAGGTTTAATTTTGGATAAGAATTGAAGCTGACTGAAATAAAGTTGTTGAGTGGTATAAGCTATAGAGTTAAGAAGCTTTTGTATATTGTACCTATTCAGAGCTTTCATTTTCGGCTGCTGCGCGCTGTTTTGTCGACCATTTGGCCGCACTGCGCGCAAACCGCCGTGTACCCACCAGTCACGCCCCGGTATACGCGCTGACCCTTGGCACCGGCGCTTGTGCGAGAGTGTAGCGGTACCTACTCCTCATTGTGAGCGGCGCGTGTCCCCGTGTCAGTGGTAACATTCGTTCAGGAGACGTTATTCGTTTGGTATTTACGGTCATCTCTCGTATACCATTTCCGTGTTGGTGTTTTTATATTCAGTGTTTCGGATTGATTTACGTTAAAAGTTTTAAATTAGCTTCAAAAGTGATAAATTAAAATAAGAGTCTGTTGCTGCTAATTGTATTTTTGAAAAGTTTGCGAATGTGCGGACATGCAGCACGATGATTCCAGCGAATTTTGTCGTCTCCGGATGACATGGTGACGGTGTGGTGTTCATTACACTCATGTTACTTCAGCAGGGACAAAATATCATTACCAATTCTCACGGTGGCGGCGGTCAGCAGAAGAATACCTCACATCTCTTACAGTCTATACAGAACAGACTGATACCGGGATGGAGTGTACATTTAGCCAACGATAATAGGCTCTACTATTGCAAGTAAGTTACTTTTTCAATAATAGTATAGAATTATCGAGCGAATAATTTCTAATGGATAATTATATTTAATAGAGTACAATTTTGATAACAGTAAGTTATAAGTAAAACTATACACTTAAAATTCGGTATTGAATACAATTGTATCACAAATTAGGAAAACAACATTTTATTTGTTTTGACCAAGTTTTTTTAAATTTTCGTTTTTTTATAGCATTCTTGTATTTATCAGATGACACCACGAAAAAAATAAAAATTAAAAATTGGAGACTATTGGAAAACTAGAACAGTTGATTAATTAAACGAAGGTTGCATTTGTTAGTTTATAAATTAAAACACGTTTTTTTAATAGTAAAATGGTATTATTTGCTAACGAAATTTATTAAAAAAATTGGTGGATATAAGAATTTTGAATTTTGACTTCGTTTTAAAACTTTAATGAAAAATTCTGTTTTGTTAATAAATGATCATACATTATATCAACTAGTTTATTTTACTATCTGTAGAATTATAAGCGCCTTTATTGTACCTATTCCTTATCATTTTTTCATGTTATCATGTTCTCGTGACATTGGTATAGTCTGCATAAATGCTATTTTCTGATTGTGTGTAATAAAAATGTACTTTTGGTGTCCATGATTTTATACATAGTTTAAGCATTCATAATTTCATAAGTTGACTATATTCACATTAATTATACATAAACTCAAGTTCTTTTATTTGATTAGAGACCGACAAGAATTAATAATTACAATTAATATAATTTTGCACAATTAAAATTACAATAGAATACGATTTCAGATGTATTATGCTAAATTGTACATAACAGGAATACTTTGAGATTTCCACTAGTCGATAACAATTAATCAGGTCCTATTACAAAGGTAACCAATGTGTTATTACCCACCCAAATGGTTGTAGAAACCCTTAATTGGATGCATTATTTAATCTACATAGCCTTTGTAAGTTTATTTTGTATATTTTTGTAAAAAACTAAGTGAAATGATCTTATAAGTTTGATTAGCTCGTAAAATTATTCTTTAATAAGTTGTTGAAAAATCCGCATTTTGATGCAGTAAAAAAGTAATCTATACACTGCTTTTGTGCTTTTTCTGGGTAATGAGAATCACACTAAAAACAATATATGATTTTGCTCGACAAATCCAATCAATTTGATCACGTTTATTATTCTTCATTCGTTTATGACGCGTCCGGCTTAAACACGGCACTGGGGAAAGGAGAGAAACTTTTCGTCGAATTGATGTACGCGCAGTGATAAACATTAAAATTTACAAACTTTGCTAGAGATTTTAATGTGACCATTGCAACAAATGGGAAGCGTTTAAAGTGTAAGAGTCAACTTTGTTCCCGCATTTAACTCCTATGTTCTGTAGGTGATACTGGCATTTCATTTTGTTTGACCGACTCTAATCGGATAATATTTCCAGGTGCCCGTCCATTATTATTAAATGGCAGTATTAATGAAATCTAATATTTTGGTCTATTAATAAAATAATAATTCGACGTTAGTAGAATGCCTGTAATTGTTTTAAAATGAACCACGATACTTCAAAACGATATTATAATATTGGTTCTTTTACTTTAAAGCATACCATTTTACAAACGTGTATTTCTGATTACATAATAGAATTTTTGATTTTTGCCTGAGGATTATTTTGATTGTTTTCAAATATTCAAATATTTATGAAATATTACAATTTTGGTCGCTATAAATATAAACTCATAAATTACATCACTTGTTTGTAAAATTTCAGTTAAATAACTTTAGTGGCAAATGAATTAATTGGATTCATGCAATAATAGTATTAATAATTATAAATTAAACCGTTATTATACATTTCCTTGTCAACGTTAGACTATTTCGTGGCACAAAACCTAAATAGTTAAGGTGATTGTCATTTAATTGCTTCGTCGAATTTTAAGCTTATTTCAACTATCACGGTAAGGTGTAATACTTTGATAAATATCTTCAACGGTTTTATAATTTCTACTGTGTTGTATGGGACTTCCGGAATTTCAATGTAAATATTCGAAATCTAAAAATAGTATTACTAAAACAGTAATTTATTAAACAGCTAATTGAACAAATTGTTCAACAAACTGTTCAACAAAGGTTGTTGAATATGCAAAGGTAGACCAAATATATTGAATTTCAAACGAAAATCGATCAACTAATTCCAAATACATTATAAAACTTTAGTCAGTAATTTTATTGACATTTTCTCGTGTTGATTAATTTGGCAAAAATATTTGATTCATAAAAAATTTATATTAATATTAACCAATGTGTATTGTCGATTATCAATTTTCATTCATTTGTTTCAGGCTGTTCGCCTGTAGTTCTTATAGTTAAACACATAACGGTAGTATCGAAATCACATAACTAATGTGTGGCTAATTAACTGCCAACAAAACTCGTTTTTATTAGTAATCGAACTATTACTAGCAACTCACGGCGTATAACGACCACTAAAATCTAGAAAACATTAAAATATGTGATTTTTTTGAAGTTAGTTATATCAGCGAGACAATACCATTCGTTACGTGTCTTTAATACCTACGCAAAATAATAGCAAAAAATACTGCAAAAAATATAACTAAGTCTTTTTATACCTATTAAAAGATATTTTTGTCTTAAATTTTATTGAAGTTTAATAAACGATTTTACTATGTAAAGTTTTATTTGTCGTTCGTTTACTCAAATTTAAATATTAATATTTATTTTAGTCTTTTCACTTGAACGATTACTCTACAAAATAAAACATTCGTACAACTTGTTATCATTAAGAAGTTTGGTGAATAACTTGAAATTGTATTTTTAGAATAATCATCACGTTTATTACGCTATCGTTTGTTATGCTAAAATTCGTAGGTTATTGCTCTTGCTAATAATAGTTTTAATATTCCTTTTATTATCAAAACTTGTACATGTTACACGGTGACCTACTATGATCAATATGCTTTGAAGTATAATGCAGATTTGATTTTTCAATGGCGCTTACCCTGATGAATTCCGTTATCAGTTTTTTATTGTTTGTTTTTTATAATTCAATTTTTCCTGGAAGGCAGAGATTTATGGTTGTTATTTTAGACATTCAACCGTTTGTTTATTTATGTTTTGTCGCCTTTTTTCTTCAAGGTTCTCTTTACACACTTTTTCTATTTTATCTTTGAAAGTATTACATGATATTCGGAGAGAATAGTCGATAACTGATTCAATCATTGATTGACTAAAAAAAACCATAAAATACATTTTTTAATACTAAACACGTAATATTTCTCTCAATCGATAAAATAAACGTTTTTCAATGCTTTATTTGTGTTTTATTAGAATTACTAGTGTTCTCTATAAAAGTTGTCTCTCATTCCTCCTATCGATTGGTAATACCGAACGGTCTATAAACAAAATAGACTTATCGCTTTCTTATTTAAAAAATAAACGTGTTCGACCCTACACCTAAGCTGCGGGTCTTTTTAAATCCGTCGTAAATATTTCACGATGTATAGAGAATATTTTAAAACGAAATCTCTAGTAGCCATACGATATTTCCTTATAAAGCTGCCTACGTTGACGACATTGGACAGTAGCTCTCACATTCATATGATATTTTACTTTGAAAATAAATTTAATATAAACATGACATATTATCAAAATATTTATTTGAATTCGATAATATGTTGACTCTTGTGTTATAGAACAGAGATAAAAAAAGGTTATGAATATAACCAGACTAAAACAATTTTTCACGTAGAAAACTTTTATAAACCAAAAGTTTTGGCAGCTACCGACAAAAAATTATTCATTTCTTACCACAAAGCGTATCAAAGACTTGGTGGTAAAATGAGTTTACGTAAAATAAAGATAAAAAAGAAACCTAAACACTTAATCGATGTTGATTAATGTTAAGTTTGTACTATTTTTAAATTCCTTATGTAGTTACTATAATTGTTATTACATTATTTCCTAAGCTAAATACCTAAGTAATAATTCGATTAATACGATAAATGTTGAGATATTTGATTAATTTTGCTGAAGATTTTAAGTTCTATAATTAGACGATGTTTACATAATAATAGTATATTAAATACATGAAAATAAATAAATTTAATAAAAAGTATTTTTAGAATATCATTTTTCATAGCATTTCTCAAAAAAAAATCTTTCTCTCAATACAATAAATTATTGCAAGTCGAAAACAACTGTGACTTAATGTTGAACACTAATTATTTTTCTACAATATAACTGCGGTTTTTATTAATTATTGTGTATTGAACTCGTAGATTTGTATTATTTAGCCATGTGATATGTGATTGTTCTTACAGGCGCCAGCGGTTGTGCAGTAGCCACAGTGGTAATTTATTATTACATTTTCGCACAACTTAAAAAAACATTTGTCTTAATTAAATGTTCAATTTGTGTTTATCAGCTTGTTTAGTAATTTATAAAAGGAGCCTAGAAAAATATACTATTTTTGTGTCCCTCAAACAAACTAACTTAGTATATATATTAATATATGAAATATCAGTTTTTTTTTCTAAATCTACTAAGGACCATATTCGGTCAAGATAAAAATTTTCGAAACGCAAGAATCACTAAAATAACAGCTGTTTTAAATCTATCTACGCCTTCCATAGTACGACTGAATCAGCCAAACACCAAACGAGTTTTATCCTGTTGGATACAATAGTTATAATTATAATACATTTTAATATTCGGTAAAACGCCCACGTGATCGACGGTTTATACTATCTTTGTAATTTTTTACCATTACATTAGTTATAACCGTATAAAACCTGATAGAATATGATGGATAATTTTTGCAACAACAATAAACTAGACAATTAATTAAAAAAAATCTTACATTTGGTTTGGTACCTTTTCAATTTGCATATGTTAATTCGGTTTTGCGCGGACCAATAGGTTAATTGTCACACACCTTTGTAATAATTGACCGTGTGTATTGATGCTGAATAAACTTGAA